CAATATCAATGTTTAAGGACACTGTGGACCAGCAACACGCACCTGCCAGGCATAAAAGTGTCTTGTTATGGTCAGTGTTGTGATAATAAAAGACTGGGTTGTTATTGTGTTTGACAAGATGAAGAAGCCTTAAGAGCTAATTGGTTTGATCATAAAACACTTGTGTAAACAAGGCATGGCGGCAGCTTCAGGTTGATGTCGGGTGAGTGGTCCGTCTCCCAGACCTGAGAGAATAAATTACAAAATAAACCCAACTCAAGTCTAGAATGTTTGCCTCAGCTCCAGTGAAATTGATGCATTGTTCGGGGCTCCATTTTGATTTGATTTTGATTTTGTAGATACATATTTTTGAATAATGTAACTTTTTTTATCTGGCACTAAATGATTGGATTTTTTTCATTATTTTAAAGAGATCTATTTTTGAAAAAAAGATCAAAAGAATTCTGAGACTAAATCATAGGATTTGATTTGATTTTGTTGATGAATACTTTTGAATAAGATATAAAAAAAAATCTGAGATTAAGTGACAGGATTAAATTTTGTATTTTGTAGATATATATTTTGAATAAGATAAACTTTGTCTGGATCTAAATGATAGTCTAGGCAGTGGGTAGCCTAGTGGTTAGTGTGTTCAGCTTGTCAGGCTGAAGGTCGAGGTTTGATTCCCCACCTGGGTACAATGTGTGAAGCCCATTTCTGGTGTCCCCGTAGTGATATTGCTGGAATATTGCTAAATGTGACGTAAAACAATACTCACCCGAGTTTTGGTCTTCTTGGCCATACAATGGTTATATTGGATATATGTGTATATCATTGAATATATATGTATATCATATTGGACATATATGTAAATCGGTTGTCAGAAATTGATGGTTATTTGTTGTTTCCACGGTTCAATGACCTTGCCAGCTGACAAGGTCAAATGTTGTTTTCTTTAATAACAGTGAGTTAATTGTATTTATGCTTCAGTTAACAAATATGCTGCATTTCATAGTTGACCTGTGATTGGTCCTGACAAGACAAACTGGCAATTGGTCTTTCTGCAGTCAGCCTTGTTTAAGATGATGTCCGTCAGATCATTGAAATAACATCATAAATGTAGGGAATTTCTCTGATTGTATTCATTGCTTGTTAAAAGAAACAGTGATGGATGGAAAAGTATGTTTTGTAATGTGTTTCATGTGTCATTGTTAATAAGTGTGTCCTGTAGAATTTGGCAGTACGTGTGGCACAGTAGTCTGTGCAGAGTTGTGTCCCTTTGGCACGCCAGAAACCTATGATCGTGGGTTTGAATCTCGGTTCGCCCCAATCAACGTGGATTTCACCAAAGTGGTAAATGTCTGAGACCTGCATCACTTCAGGCTTCCCTCCCACACCAAACCGACAGGCCATGATATAACTGGAATACTGTTCAAAGCGGCGCCTTACATCATTTCATCGTTCCCAAGTATTGACTGATAAAGAATGAAAGAATTCACTTGATGAATAATATCATAACGTATATCAAACCTGCATGCTATATTTTAATCCAATCCATCCTCAATTAATGTACACAGTGCCTTGATGTAAAAATATGACATACAAAATAGAATGCCTCATATTTTTAAAACAACTAAATATTAATTTATTGTTGCCTTATTAATATTTCCAATTTAAAATATATTAATGTGAAAGAAGAATCGGGTGTTTTTAACTTCTATTCAGCAGTATATGTTTAAACTTTTGACAGGGGTAATGTGATATTTCATACTGTGACAAAGCTAAACACATTGAATGTTATATAAATTACTTATTATTTGTATTGACCCTGAGAATGAGTCCGTTCCAAAGCATTGTAGGGGCGGTCGGTAGCCTAGTGGTTAAAGCGTTCGCTTGTCGCGCTGAAGACCCGGGTTCGATTCCCGATATTGGTACAATCTGTGAAGCCCATTTCTGGTGTCCCCCGCCGTGATATTGCTGGAATATTGCTCACTCACTCACTCACTCCAAGGCATTGTATGTTGTGTTACATTCCCAGGGACCAGTCACATCACAGAGCTACATAGGTCCCAGTCAGTCAATGTTGGACACTCGGGGATATCCCTATCAAACGTTGAGTGGTATATCTGCTCTTGTGTCAAGCTGGTCTTGTCGGTCTTGCATTTGCATGCCTTTCTACAGTCGACTGAAATTTGACATTCCGGGAATATTTTGTAATCCTTTTCAGATATTTTGTTTTTCATTTTTCGTAATAAGGGTAAGGTGATATGTTACAAGAATGCTTAAAAATTGAAAAAAGCCAAATATTTGTGTTCTGGGAACTTGCATTGAGACATGGGTCGGAATTTAAGGTCATCACTTTAGTTTTTCGTCTCAGAAACTGTTATGACGTCAGAGTTAATTCTCAGTTGATTTCAGAAATATGCAACTTGTTTTTGGAAAATATCATTCAACCTAACAACTCCTTATCGTGTACAGTTGAAGGGGGTCAAAAGTTCCTGGGGAGTTTTTATGTTGTAATAGCAGCTGGTGTGACGAGATAAGACATAACATCCAGAGATAACAGCTTCAGACTACTCACAGATAACGCAAGGTGTTGTAGCTAGTTCCAGGGCCATATATTCTGGTACTATGGACGCTCATGTCATTTAAATTATCCTTGTTTTATTTATCAATTAGAATCTGACATTTAGCAAAAGTGTTTTGTATTTAGCAGATGTCATGTCTGTTTTGTGTGTGTGTGTGTGTGTGTGTGTGTGTGTGTGTGTGTGTGTGTGTGTGTGTGTGTGTGTGTGTGTGTGTGTGTGTGTGTGTGTGTGTGTGTGTGTGTGTGTGTGTGTGTTCACTACAAATATCTTAGTATACTGATTCTGTGTCCAATATACATCATACATACAGACATACATATTTCAATGTATAGTACGAAGCATTTTAAAGTGCTCTCAGCCAAAATAACATTAACAATAAAACAAATAAATATATAAATAAATAAACGTTATGACATAAGTCCTTAATAATAATGCTGATGATTATGTGATAAAAAAGAAGATGAAGATAATAATGACAATGATATGATGATAATGATGTGATGATGATGATGATGATGAAGATGATGACGATGATGATGTGATGGTGACGTGATGATTATGATGATGATGATTTGATGATGATGATGAAGATGATGATGAAGATGACGATGATGTAATGATGACGATGATGATGTGATGGTGACGTGATGATTATGATGATGATGATTTGATGATGATTATGATGTGATTGGCTGGTTGGTTGGTTGGTTTGTTGTTTAACGCCGCACTCAGCAATATTACAGTTATATTACGGTGGTCTGTAAATATACGAGTCTGGATCAGACAGTCTGGATCCAGTGATTGACATCATGAGCATCGATCAACGCGATTAGTATTGATGACATGCATCAACCAAGTCAGCGAGCCTGACCACCCGATCCCGTTAGTCGCCTTTTACGGCAAGCATGGGTTGCTGAAGACCTTATCCACCCCGCATCTTCACAGGTCGATGATGATGATGATGATGATGATGATGATGATGATGATGATGATGATACAAAAGATATAAAACATTTAAATGATTTCTACAAGATAACAAGAGAAATGCTAAATAGATAGTCCATTGTAGTGTTCAAAGAGGCGTGTCTTCAGTCTTGACTTGAAAGAGTGGGAGATAATGAAGCTGGGACTTGAAGAGTCTGAAGTGTAGGGAAGCAGCTGCAGATTGGGAAGATCCTTGAAGAGCCAGAAGACTCGAGTTTGTGAGAGTGGATGATGAGTAGGAGCTGGCCACTTGATCGAAGTGCTCGCTCGGACAGGTCAGATCTTGGAAATAAGGGGAGCTGTTCCATGAATACATTGATAAGTCTTGAAGAGCCTGAAGTTGAGCCAGTGAAGAGAACAAAGTGTAGGAGAAATGCGATGTATGGGAGATGCTACACAACAAGCCGAGTCTGACACTGGTAGTCCTGCGCCATCACTGTGGAAATATATATAAATACATTGTAT